AAAGTAGTTGAAAATAGTTTTATTTTGTTTTGTTAAAAAAAAAAAAAAGCCAGCCAACACTAATAGGGGTTTCCTTTCTTTTCTCTTCTTTCTGTTTTATCTCTCTGCTCTGAGGCCTAAACCCAGGAATTCCAGCAGGGCCTAGGTGAACTTTGGATCCAGCCCAAGGAGAGGGTCTAACAGAGTTAGACAGTTAGAGTACCCAGAACGTTTTTGTTTCCTTCCCTGAAAAAGCAACTCTCTCCCCTCCTCTCTCCTCTTCTCCTTCCTCTCTCCCCTCCCTTCCCTCTTCTCTCTTCTCCCTTCTCTCCTCTTCTTCTCCTCTCTCCCCTCCCCTCTCCCCTCCCTTCCCTCCTCGCCTCTCTTTCCTCTCCTCCTCCTCTCCCTCCTCTCTCCTCTCTTTCCTCTCTATCTCTCCTCCCTTCCTTACTCTCTCCTGTCTTCCCCCTCTGTTCCCTCCCCTCCCCTCTCCTTTCATTTCTTCTTCTCTCCTCTACCTCACTCTCAGTTTCTTTTCTCCACTGTTGAGGATTTTATGTAAAGTCTTGTGCATGCTAGACAAGAGCTCTACCACTGAGCTACATCCCAGCCTAACAAAGAGGAGCCCATCCGGAGAGTCCCTCTGACCTGTCGGGACCCCTTCTTTATCTGTTTGCACGCCCCTTAGCCTGGCTCCCCAAATTCTCCAGGCACCCCACCTCCATCTACTTACCCAGTCGTGGCTAGTAGGTTCCTCTACTTGGCCTCTGCCCATTCTCTCTGATGAACCTTACCGCACATCATTTTCTGCCCAGCTTCCTCAGTGTCTTGTAATGCCCACTTACCACATCTTAATGACTTACTGTGGAAAATAGTGTACAAAGAATAGATTCTTTATATCATTTTATTTTGGGATAATAGGGTCAGATGAGATTATATTACTCAAGTCAATTCCATTGTCTTTCTAAAATATTTATTCATTTATCTATTCATTTATTTCATTTATTTATCTATTCATTGTTTTCTTGAAACAGTCATAGCCAAGAAGGATCCTGAATTGCTGCTCCTCTGGCCTCTGCCTCCCTCACACTGGGATTAGAGGGATGCGCCACCATACCCCATGCTGTCCTCTTTTTTCTTTATTTTCATTTCGTGTGCATTGGTGTTTTTCCTTCATGTATGCCTGTCAGAGTGTTGGATCCTGGACTTACAGACAGTTGGGAGCCATCATGTGGGTGCTGGGGATTGAACTCAGGACCTCTGTAAGAGTAGCCAGTGCTCTTAACCACAGAACTCTCTCTCCTCCTTATTTATTTATTTATTTACTTATATATTTATTTTATCTTTGGTTTTTTGAGATAGGGTTTCTCTGTATCTTTGGAGCCTGTCTTGGGACTATCTCTGGTAGACCAGGTTGACCTCGAGCTCTCAGAGATCCACCTGCCTCTTCCTCTCAAGTGCTGGGATTAAAGGCACGAGCCACCACCGCCCGGCTCCCCTTCCTTTTTAAAAGACAACCAAAATTCCTTTTTAATCTTGGGATTGCTAAGAATGGAACCCAGGACCTTCTGCAGGTACTCTCCACTGAGGGACACCTCCTCAGCCCTCCTGATTGTTTGTAATGTAGCTAGTAAGCCATGTGAAGTTAGTTACATATGTGGACAGGAAATGTTTACTGTGCACTTGTGGAGGTCAGAGGACAACTTTTGGGAATCACTTCTCTTTTTCCACCATGTGGGTCCTGGAAATGGAATTCACCCATTGGGCCATCTCTACAGCCCTGTGTCTTACATCTCAGTGTCGGCTTGCATGCTGGTCTCTGACACAAGGCTCACTACACTCCCGTGGGGTGAATGTTGTGACTATCTCTTCTTTACAAAAAACTAAATCCAAGGGAGAGCGTGACCTGCCCAAGGTCACGGCTGGGCACTCACAGATTCCAGTTTCCAACCGAAGTTCTGTGACTCCAAAGTCTATCTTCAGTGGGACCTTGCTGCCCAGGTTAGAGCTGGAATGTACTTGATTAGACCGGCTATGAGCAATAACGAATCTAATCAGAACCCAGGCTGAACGCTGGTCTTTCATAAAGACAAAATGAGAGAAGAGATTAACATAAGCAATACATTACTTTCTATTGACTCTTGGGATGTGCGGATGAAATAAAAGACGGAGGACCACTGATCTGAGCAAGAATCTCATCTTACAAGTGTGGAAGCTGACGCTCAGGCAGGAGGATGAATTTACCAAGGGCTCCACTATGTTGGCAGTCCTTGGAGTTGTGGTTTTGGGAATCCTTGGGTGGGATCCTTGGGGACTTTAGTCTTTCCTAGGAAGGTTTCTGTCCCCAGCCACCTGGAAGCCCTTTTCGTGAGTCGGTCCTCTTCCTCCCCTAAGACTGTCCCAAAGACTAGAGCGAGGAGGGGGACAACCCACTTCCCATCAGGATCCCAAGGCCACCATCCGATCCCGGGCCAGGAATTCCTTTCAGAGATTTAAACCGAGACGAAAATAATTGTGAACCTTTGGAGGTCTCCAAGAGCTGACTGCTCCATTTCTCTCCCGACTTAGGTGACTCAGGCTTCCTAAGCGTCTTTCCCGAGGCGGGCCTGGACCTCACAGCTCTGCCCCCATCTGCTCTCACACGTGGTGGGGAGGTGTTGAAACAACCTACTTCCCCCGTGCCCTCTTCCCAGCCCTGTCCAATGAGGCGGGAGAAACGGCTACAGAGACATGCTGAATCCATCAAAACCCCGAGCCCCGGAAGCCACAGGCAGAGGCTGAGAAGGCGCCACTAAGATAGAAAGGCGCGGAAACAAAGGCCCAGAAAGAATGCCCTGGACAAAGAGGGAGACTCGGAAAAAGGCCTCGGGAGAGCGACGAAGGGGCCAGAAACGAGGGAAAGAGACGGGAGAACCAGAAAAGAGAGAGAGAAGAGGGGGAAGATGGAGAAGTCAGAGTTTGAGAAAAGGGGTGGAGGATGGAGACAGCGCTGGCAGGAGACTCAGGCGCGCGGGGCCGGGCGCGGGTCCCAGGTCCCCGGGGGCGGACCCTGCTGGCGGCGCCTGGCCCCGCTGCGGCCGTCGGAGCAGCCACATTCCTCCGGGTTTCCCACACATTCGCCATCAAAGCGTCCCCAAAGCCCCAGCTTTTCCCGCGCCCCTCCCCCGCCACTGGCTGGAGAAGCTATTTTTCACCCCCTCCTGGTCTTTAATCTGTTGTGGGAAAAGAAAGCGGCTTTTGTTGAACGAGGGGCTGCGCGGGGGGCGGGGAGGAGGCACGGGCGATTGTGTGTCCCGCAGCTGCGCGCCAACGCTGGGGTGGGGGCTGCCGGGGTGCAGGCCGAGCTGGGGCCGTCCGGGAAGGTGGGCCAGGGCGGTAGAGACAGCCTGGTCTCGGGGTGCACGTCAAGCTGGGCCTGCCCATGAAGGTGGGTTGGAACTATAGGGTGTAGGAACGGCCGGCGTGTGGTCAGGGAGGATGGCAGTGGAGAGGGACTGGAGTCCTCTTGCCTTTGTTTCCTTGGCCAGGAGATTGCAGGAAGATGGACTCATACGGGCTGGGTGTATATAGAATCCTGCCCAGGCTCGGGCTGCGACTCTGCAAAGGACAGACCGCGATTAATGTTTGGCTTTTATGGGCTGGGCGTAGAGCCCGGCGTCTCTTGCATGCACTGTACCAATGAGCTACATCCTCAGTCAGACAGCTTGCACTTAAATCCATCCGGCTGCATACAGTCCTCACCTGGGACCCAGACATGCAACTCACACCCAGGCAGTCTCACTCCAGAAAGTGGGTACAGCCCACGCTCGTATTCAAAGACACACACGCTGCCTAGGCAGATGCCAAAGTTCTGTGGGGCTTCGAATGTGTTTCCTTCGATTTCCATCCCCAAAGCGTTAGTTTGTAGCTCACCCTTTCCTACCTTTCGACAGCTAGCTGTGTGACCTTGGTCAGCTGACCTCACCTCTTTACACCCCAGTCAGTGTGAGAGTTGAGGATAATGACGTGTAAAATGCCTGCTCAGTTGGGTTTGATGAGACACAGCCTCTGATGGGAGCACGTGGCCGAATTTAAGGACAGCCTGGGCTACATAGCAAGATACCGTCTCCTGAAACATAAACAATGAAATGTCAAAATAGTGTTTGACACTCAGCAAGCACTACGGCTGCTACGCAAGTCACTGTTACACAAGCCAGCTTGGCTACTCACGATTTATCCTCAGGAGCAGTATAGCCTGCAGGAGCCTCTCTGTGAGAGCTCCAGCCCAGCCTCTGCCTTCTGGCATCCCAGCCTTTCCAGCACTCTGCAGAGTTGTGGCCCATTTAGGGGTGGGAGATCCCTTTCCTCTCTGGCAGGGTCGACCCTGTCGCCAGGCCCATCCCTCCCTCCCTTCCCATCTCCTTCCCCTGGCAGCTTTTGAACTGCAGCTGGGCCCCAGGCCAAAACAGGACAATGTCTGGGCAGGGTGGACACTGTTCTTCAAGGTCTTTTTTGTCTTCATCTTTCCTTGCCGTGGACTCTGGACCTCACCATCCTTCCGGGGCTTTTCCTGAAGCACAAAACTCAACTATCTGCTATAGAGAGAGAAGTTGGGAGCCACAGGACGCAAGGGCAACCCGAGCTTGAACTGTTTCATTTCTATTTTGTTTGCAGTGCTGGACATCAAACCCCAGGGCCGCATCACCTCTATGCAACATCTCCACCCCCAGCCCCCAGGCCCAGTGATTCCCCAGTGATTCTATATTAAATCCTGCAGGCCAGGGCCTGGCTGTCTATACTTTGTAATCTCAGCACTCAGGAGGCCAAGGCAGGAGGATCAGCCATCACAAGTTATAGGTTAAGCTGGTCTACCCATGAGTTCTAGGCCAGCCAGAGGTACAAAGACCTGACTCAAAAGAACAATAGCAAAAATTAAAAACCCAGATCTTGTCTCTAAGTGGTGATGTCCCAAAAGTACTTAGGATGACTGGGGTAGAACTGAACTTAGTTGTCATTATTTTATTTTATTTTTTTATGTGTGTGTACTCACTTCAGCAGTACATGTACTGAAGTTGGAGCAATACAGGGAAGATTACCATGGCCTCTGAGCAAGACCTGAGAATTAGTGAGGCATGCTGTATTAAAAATTCTTGCAGCAGCCAGGTGGTGGTGGTGGTGGAGTAGGCCTTTAATCCCAGCACTTGGGAGGCAGAGGCAGGTGGATCTCTGTGAGTTTGAGGCCAGCATGGTCTATAGAGTGAGTTCCAGGACAGCCAGGGCTACCCAGAAACCCTGTCTTGAAAAATAAAGCAAAACAATCAATGTGTGTGGGTATATGTGATGCATGTAAGGTTACACATGTCACAGCACCAGTGTGGAGGTCAGAGGGCAACTTTGTAGGACTGATTGTTTCATTCTGTCTCCGCATGGATTGTACTCAGATTGAACTGAGAGTGAACTCAGTTCATCAGGTTTGCTCTTCATCCATTGAGGCATTTCACTACACTGACTTGTGAAGATCTCCCTGCCTCTGCCTCCTGAGTGATGAAATTGTTAGGTCTATATAGCACCAGGTTCGGGCCTACAGGATTTAATGTTATCTGTACCAGGAGTTATAAGGGGCACCGATGAGTTCAAAGTCTTCTTAGGCTACACAGTTAGACTGTTTCAAAAACACCCACAGCTTCTCCTCAATAGAGAATCTCACACAGTGTAGGTGCTCAGAAAATACCCACCTCTGACTTACCTCATGCCAGGGGCAAAGCTAGGCCTGGGGCAGCCATGGTCACTGATCATTTGGTGAAATTTCAGTAGGTGTGACTTGGAAGATGGAGAAGGCATCCAAGTTGACTCTAATTTAGCAGTAGTCACTACGCAGCGAGGGTCAGAGGAAGTGTCACACTGGGAGGGCAGCTGGAATGGTAGTAGAGTGTGCTTAGCTTGTGCAAGACTCGTGTGTTCTGTCCCTAGCACTTAAACAAGCCTTACTACTTCTCACCCTACCTAATGGGCCCAATTAGCTTTTTTCTACCTGGTGTAATACAACCTTCTCAGGGGCTGGTGAAATGGCTTCATCAAGTGAAGTCACTTTTCCCAATACCCGAGGACCTGAGTTTGATCCTCTGGAGTCACACAGTGGAGGAAGAAAAGCAACTTTTGTAAACTGTCCTCTGGCCACCACGCATTCACACTAATGTGCGTGCGCGCGCACACACGCACACACACACACACATACACACAGATATATGAATAAATGCAATGACAATCATTTCTGAGAGGTCCTTGGGAAGGGTAGAGGAAAATATGCAGAAGGTTAGAAGCTTTGGAGACAGGATGAAAATCTTGGCTTTCCCACTGAATGGCTGTGTGACCTGGTAGAAATCGCCTCTCTGAGCCCCTTATGCGTCCACAAAATGGGTCAGTGAAGCTAGGTACGGGGAGCACATTTGTAACCTCAGTACCCGGGAGGCTGAAGTAAGAGGATTTCAAGTTTGAGGACAGCACAGGCTACAAGGTGGAGACTCTGTCTCAGAAGAGTCAATGAGAAAATGCAGGGCCAGGTCCGGGCTGAGAGTGGAGGGCACAGCACTCTCAGGCCCCAGGTTCCATCCCCAGCACTGTAAAAACCAAGCCAAATCAAACAAAATCAAACCAACAATGATTAGGTAAACAGTGCTTGTCAAACAGGACTCAACAATGATGAAGGCAGCAGGCAGTGGCAGCTCCAAGTATTTCTGAAGTGTAGAGGAGCCCATCTCAAAACCCCCTAAAATGTCCACCTTTAGAAGGACTTAGGTCTCTTCTATTGCCTTTCTCAGTGTTGCCCACATTTCTGGGAACTACCTCTGGAGGAAGCACTAACTTCAAGGGACACCTTGGATCCCACGCAACACATCCTATCGCATAAAAGCAAGTACTTCCCATCTTTCTTCTGTCCTCTATGGTCTTCTCGGCTGCCAGGTGGGTAAATAGTATTTTCTCCCCATTTTTATAGAGCTGGTAAGCGAGAAGGAGTGAGGGTGGATAGCCTAGGCAATGCCAGGATATGCCTTCCTCGTGCCCTCTGGATGTGGGGTTGTACTTTGGGGTTCAGATTTGCTGAGAGGAGCAGGCATAGGCTCTCAGTGTATGGCTGGGAAATGCTCAGCCCATCTTTATGGCCACTTTCTGAACAAATAGGTAGATATCAGAAAATGCATGGACTGGCAAGATGGTTACCCTGCAAGCCCGAATGCCTGAGTTTGGTCCCGGTACCCAAAGTAGAAGGAAAGAACCGGATACCCCCACCCCCAGCTGTGTTCTGATGTCCTCGAATCGAATATGTTGGTGGCATGTACACACCATGGCACATGCCCACACTTACATATACATACATCACTTACACACATTTGAAAAAAAATACAACTTCTGGGAACTTTAACCAACATAGAATACTTAATGCTTATGAGAACTAGGGCCAGAGAGGTCAGGGAGTTAGGGGAGCAGAAGGGTTGGATCTTGGCCACAGGTCAGTCACAGACGTTCGACATAACCTTGGACAAGGTTCTAAGGTCCCTGGATCCTCGTGTCTACACATGGAGAAAAGATAGCGAGCTAGCTTGACAGAAGCCCAGTTTAAGCAAGACATCTGCAATCCTCATCATCGCGACATTGACTTTGAAATTCACAGCCGAGAGACCCCCTTGCCACCACGTCTTAAATTTCTAAAGACAAAATAGTAATAGCTTACAGTTCTGCCAGCTCCTCAAAAAAAAAAAATCAGAGAGCACAACATTGATTTTTTTTTTTCTTTTTATAATTTTGGCAGAGGAAGATGCAGTTCCTGGAAATGCTTACAAAACGATTCCTGACACTAGGAGGAGAGAGTTAAAAAAGGGGAAAAAGTAACAAGAAAATTTATCTGCATACAGATAGAAAGGAGGAAGGTGGAAAGAAAAGGCATAAACAAAAGAACTAAAAGAGAAAGGGGGGTCTTTAAAAGGCCTCAATTCAGGGGACGTTATCAAGGTCTCAGAATCTGCGATTCACAAGCTGCTCGCCGGCTGGGGTGGCGCAGGCCCCGCCCCTATCTCGGGTGTCGGGCGTTCATTGGTGGAAGAGGCAGTCGCCGGCCGGTGACTGCCCGAGGAAAGGTTGCCTGGGACACGCATCCCTGTGTGAACGCATGACGTCCCACCCTGGCGCCAGGCTGTCTGGGGCTGAGTCTTAGATCAACACAGCTGTGGGACCCGGACCCACAGCTGGGCAAAGGAGCGGATTCCTCAACAAAAAATAGGATTGTGGGAAAAGTTCTGAAACAAAAACAGCGCAGACAAAAGCCTTAATGACATCCTTTCATAAAAATAAAAAATGCAAGAGGGGGGAAAAAGCTGGTAAAAGGAGCAGAACTGGGAACAGAAAGTTCAGAGGCGTTTGGAGTAAGAGGCTGAGGCCCCGCCACCGCTAAACAAGTTGCAGAAGGCCAGGGCGAGCCGGCCAGTCTGCTATGCGGGAAAGAGAGGAGTCTTTGGGGTTTAAACTCTATTCAATGTTCCCAATCTAATCGAAAACCACTCCTTTGACACTTAGACCCTTAGGGTCACAAAAGATCCTTAAAGGTCTTTTACCCCCTCCCTATCCTCGCCTCCCCCAAGTAAGGTCCAGGAAGGATTTGTTTCCAAAGGTAAATTCTTGTCATGGAAAGGAGATAACCCCACTGCACCCTCCTGCCCTATCCCACACAGCCTATGGCCATTTCAGCCTGGAAGCATCAAGAGGAAATAATAAACACTTTGAAGGTATTTTGCAAACCTTAAACCCAGTAAACCCGCTATCCAAGCCAGAGACAACAGAGGTACTGAAGGACCTGAGACCCTGGGTGGGCTAAGCACTAAGCTCTTCCCATAACACAACTTGGCCCCATGCAGAACTAATGCTGGTGGAGGAAGCATGTCCGGTTCTTCTCTTTTTTTGAGACAGGGTCTCACTATTTAGTCCCTGGCTATCTTGAAACGCACTATGTAGACCAGGCTGGCCTTGAACTAACAGAGCTGTGCCTGCTTCTGCCTCCTGAGTGCTGAGATTAAAGGCCTTTTTATTTTTTTTTAAAAATAAATGAGTCAGAGCTGGGTATAAGGGCACACCCCTTTAATCCCAGCACTAGCATTTGAGGCCAGCCTGATCTACAGAATCTACAGAGTGAGTTCCAGGGCAGCTAGGGGCTACACAGAGAGACCCTGACTCAAAAAAAAAAAAAGGAAAAATAAACAAATGCATACATACAAACAAACACACGAGATCATCCTCATGAGCTCCACAAGCGAGAAAAGTGAGGCACCAAGAATAATTTGTTCCAAGTTCACACTGTGAAAGCATTTGAACATAGGTCTGCCAGGCAATGAAGGCCATGATTTTTCCAGAAGCTCCTGGAATGAGTATTTTGCACAAACATACAGAAGTCTTCACAACAGCCAAAGAAAGGGTCTTCTGTTTAGTTATTCGGGAGTCCTCAGCTACGGAGATTTTCCTTCCCCCTGACCAATAGCTGGCATGTAACTTCTTCAGCGTAAGCGTATAGAGATTGATTTGTGTTTTTACAGGTTAGATTCCCTTTTTCTGAAACTGAAAGAGCTGTCCTTGAGAACTTTCATATTCCCAGGAGAAAACTTCCCAAGGGCCCTGTGGAGTGATGGAAAAGAACGAGGCTTCACCTGTGACATGACACTGGACATGCTTCACACACCTCTCCCAGCCCCTTGCCACCCCACATGCTCTCTCTGTCCAGCTGCCACACAAGCATAGATTTCTTGAGTCAGAAAGTGTAACAATCCCTTAGTGCCATCTCTCTCTCTTCTCTCTCTCTCTCTCTCTCTCTCAGAAGGCAATCAAAGCCAGGGTCGCTGGTTTTGCTCAAGATTCTATGTAGATGACCCACAGTTAGCAGAGATGGCTGAATGAAGGAACCCAGGGCTCTGGCTTCCTAGTGGCCTTCCCGCTGTTGGAACTGTCCCAGCTCAGAGGTCCCATTGTCCTGTTGATCAGTGCCACACACTACTGAACACTTAATTGTTTCCTGTGTTAATCTCGTCCCGGACATTGTGAGGTTCTTGAGAGCAGGGGCCTCTGTTTCATGTGAAGCAACTCCATAAATATTCACTAGGCTGACT